AAATTTTCTCAAAGAATGTTTTTAATCAGATATGTATAGAAATTGGCTGCGAAAACGTGACATGCAACAACGGCGGCCGATGCTACTTTTATCTTGGACAGGCGAAATGTCAGTGTGTACCTCCTTACACTGGCGACAACTGTAATGAAGGTACCAGTTCCAAAATTTCGTTTGTAATAGTGAAGAATCTGTGATTAATGGGCTCAAGTTTGTTTAGCTTAATATTTTCTGTAATCCCTTCGCTTAACTTAACATTTAAGCCACTAACATAAGTTGAATGCTTAAATGTACGGCTCCGTTCTGTTGTCAGCTTTCATGAATATCTGTGGTAGCACCAATTATGAAAATCTGTGTTTCACATACCTCATTCTTGTTTCCTGTAGTGATGTGTGGTGAAAACTTCTTTGATCGCTTTTCTGGAATCATTGCCTCCCCAGACTACCCGCAGTTGCTCAGGGGAACGGTTCAGTGCCAGTGGAGTATCACCGTCCCGAAGAACGCGACCATCAAGCTCAACATCTTCGACATGACCATGGAGTGCGCGACCAGTTTCTGGCAGGTCACGGGCACCGCACTGCATAAACCAGAAGAGAAGTACGTTTTCTCATACTGTTTCTATCTTAATCTGAAACTACAGTATGTGCTTCCTATTCGCTTTGAAAGTTTGACACTTCTATGATAAACCAGTCATTATTAGCTGCAGTTTGTGAACTGTAGTTTTCTTCATGGAACTGTTTAGTGCTGCAGTTCCCTGAAATTTAACTGCAATATGTGTACAACATTTAATGGGTAAAAGTAGAAATGTGAATATTTAAAGCACAGAAATATGAATAGCAGATTTTCGTAGATCGGGCTTTCAGGTCGATGCCTCTGCGATACTGATGGCATGATCTTTTCTAATGATGATTAATTAGAGCACATGTCTGTTTGGTTCGAGCTGTTATTTTAAATTAATGGAGTCTAAAACTAAGCTTTTTTAAATATCTGTTGTTTCAGATTATTTGCATTTATTTTATGTTTTCCGAATGTAGGCCAACGATGGCTGGCAGGCTCCTGAATATCGATTGATTAAATTATTACTATGTACAAAACAAGGTGCAAAACTAGGTTTGTCACGGACAGCCCATGTCTTCGATGGAGAACTGCCTATGGGTAATCGATAGAAGAATGATGATGGCGTGGAGCACTTTTGGAAAACTGATGTTCCAATTTTGCTAACTGTTTTTGTGCTTAAATGGAAAGTTTTCGAGCAATGTGTGCTCCCATTTCTAAGCTATGGGTGCAAAATGGGGACCCTACGCCTGAAACCAATTAATGAACTGCAAGCTACGTAATGCAGCGAGAAAAATTGTATCTTGGGAAGAACAAGCAATGATGGAGAGATGAATGAATGAGTAAAGTGTATAGGATATAATAGGGAAAGGGTATAGGCAGACTCTAAACAAGAGTCTACAACGTCATGGCCTGAGTGAATCAGTTAAGTTAGAGTGGCAATCAGCTGGATGTGTTGCTAGAAGAACCGACCGTCGCTGCACCAAAGAGTCATTAGACTTCTTTCCAAGCGAAAGTAAGCGGCTTGGAACACTTCCAAATCGATGACAGGATGAACTGAAGAAGTTGATTGGATCATGTGAAAATTACAGGAAGCATAAATTTATGGTCAAGTTTTGGAGAGGCTTTCAGTGAATCAGGAAAGGCTGATGATGATCTGCATGAAAATTGTGCATCGAACTCATGCAAGCTGAACTTTGGAGCAAGTTCTGTTATGATCATATTTGTCAAACCGAACTAGCCGAAAGATATGATACGCCAAGGTCTCTTTACGGCGTATAACTTTTTCATTTATCAGATTTCACGATGTATTACATGACTTTCTTGTTCCTTGTCTTCTGGAGTGGCAGGTGACATTTTAGCAGGCCGTGGCTTATGCGGTATTTGAAAAGCTGCAGTATTACATGCATCTCTTATTGTTCTATTAGCTAGAAGAGAACTTTTTTCTTAACGGAGGCGCTTCAGCTGCAAGTACTCCGCTAAGGCTTTATCAAGTGTCAGAAATGCGTTTCAGATTATGTTAGCAAAAGGAGTAAAACTCCTCCAGTTATGTGATTTCGCTACGCAATTGAGCAAACTTTTGTTTTTCCTGACAGGAGAACAGGGGCGGATCAGACACAACAGTTTTGTTTCTAAAAGACTGTGGAGCCATATCTAGTTTACATTGAACTCTGTTATTCACTCCTATGCAGTGTGGGCAGTGCAGTGCGCCGTAATATGTGGTAATTGAAGAAACTGGGTGCTAGAGAAAACAACTCAGTTTCTCATATTGACGTTCTTTAGCAAAGACAAGGCGTGAATGGTCTATTTTCTTTCCGAACATATGCAAACGAGGTCGGAAAAGAATAATTAACATTTTTTAGAGGAGTATCGTGACCATTAAATATAAAAAGTTTAACGATCTTGATTAGCATTTTATAAGAGTACTCTCGGACAGTTTAAGTGATTTCTCAAACGTGTGCTGTTGAAAGTTCTGT